TTATTGTAACCATCCTAGTGGGTGTTGATGTGGTGTCTCATTGTGGTTTTTTTTGTTTTTTTTTAAAGATTTTTATTGGGGAATTGGGGGGATGGGAACAGTGCTGGGGAATTGGGGGAAGGGGAACAGAGAAGTTGCTGTCCTTTTTTGTTCTTCAGTCTAGTTGTGGAGGATGTTGCTTCACTGGCCCAAGTTGGCACCATCATTGCGCTCTTCCCTGGCGAGGCAGATCAGTCGCCGGCTTCTGGACAGCCGCTCACTGCGGCTGCTGGCCGCTCACGCTGGCTGCTGGCTACATACGGTAGCCCATGGCAACCCACTGCCACAGGGACTGCAGCCTACGCCGTCGCCGGCGACTCATGGCAGCCCAGCTCCAGGTCGAGCTGTTGTTCAGCATCTTAGCTGTTGAGGGCAGTGTCACTGGCCCTCATATGTGAGATCCGAACCGGGGCCCTCTGGCATCCCAAGCGAGTTCTTAACCATCGCGCCACTCGGCCGGCCCTCATTGTGGTTTTGATCTGCTTTTCTACAGTGACTAATGATGTCATGCATTTTTTCATGTGCTTGTTGGCCATTTGTACCATGTCTTTGAAGAAATACCTATTTAGATCCTTTGCCTATTTTTTGGATTGTATTATGTTAGTATTGTTGAGTTGTAGGAGTTCTTTATATATTCTTATCAGATGCGTGATTTGCAAATATTTTCTCCCATTCTTTGGATTATCTTTTCAGTGTATATCAGTAGTGTCCTTTGAGGCACAAAAGTTTTTAATTTTGATGAAGTCCAATTTACCTTTTTTTCTTTTCTTTTATCCTGGTCACTTGTGCTTTGGGTCTGAAGAAATTTAAATGGGAGTTACAGGAGCGCATTTGTGGTTTAGAAAGATTACTTTGGCCCCAGCTAGGTGAGAAAGAATGAAGGACTGGGCTGGGGGAGTGGGGAGCGGAGCTAGGCGTTAGGCAGGACGACATGGGCTAGAAAGACATTTAGAAGGTAGGCTCGGTGGGGTTTGGTGACTTGATACTGGATGTGTGCAGGGAAGAGGGGGTTCAGTTCACTCCCAGATCTCTAGCTCTTGGGACAGAATATGTGGTTTTGCTGCTTACTAGTGAGGGATCATAGAACATGGAGCAGGTTTGAGGAGGGACCCCTGTCAACGACTGGATGGCAAACAGTGAGCCAGAAAGGATGCCCAGGCCTGCCAGTGAGGCTGCTCTCAGAACCTGCGAGGCAGCCACAAGCAGGTCCTGAGGCCAAACGTGCCTCCAGGCCCGGGAGCCACCTCTCTTCTTGCGCCTGAGGCCTCCCTCAGTATCTTTAGAAGCAGTAAAAATAGGTATCACTGGGATGTTCTCCTGCTATGCATTTTACATTGGCTGAGGTTTGCAAAGAGTGTGAAGCCCATCAGAGGAAAACATTTTGTTGAGGATGGGTAAATGGGATTCTTCATTTCTTTTTATCATCCTCTGCCCTTGTAGATCATCTAGTGGTCAAACCATCATGGCCATTTGTTCACTTCCCCTAGAGGAGAGCCAAATGTGTCTGTGGTGCCTCTGTGGCCAGCACAGGAATGCTCTATGATGTCTGCAGTGGGTGGGACTGCACCCCTAGCCCCCCCCCCCAGACTGGGGCACTCATTCCCCCAGCTGTGGGGCAGTGATGGCTGTGGACTGCCCAGCTGGAGGCCATCTCCAGGGCTTGCTCTCTGTGGGGAGGGCTGCCTTGGCCCAGGGCTTGCCCCTTCCCCAGAACAGCTGCACCAGGGGAGTCCATTGGGTAGGGGAAGGCCCACTTCATTTCAATTTGGAGCAGCTCTGAAGGGCATCCTAGGTGCGGAGCTCCCCTTGCTGTGGCTGCCTTGCAGTTCGTTCCCTTTTCTGCCCATCTGGCTTCCTTCATTCCTGCAGAGCACTCCTCAACAAACTTCGCCTGTGCACATCCCCAGCTCTGCTCGTTTCCCTGAGAACCAAACCTGAGACAATGCCATTTCCTCAATTTCTGTGTCTGACAAGCCCGAGGAGAGGTTGTAACACTTGCTAAGACTGTAGCCCAGTGTACCTTAGCGCTGCTCTGCCTGTCCTTGCATCCCAAGCTCCTAGAAGGTGCGTGACAAGGCTGAGCACTGATGGAGAGTCCTGAGTGATCTCTGCTGCCATCTGCCTTTGGTGGCTGTCAGAGCACCAAGGATAGTCTCTGACCACCCCATCTCCGGGGAGGAGTAGTTCTCCCGGGAAATCCCTTTGAATCTATTTGTAATGCAATTCTGCACACCCCATTTCTAGAGAAAGTTGATTTTTGAAGATGAGAAGTGCTTGGAATGCATGAAAGGTATTTCCTTTTTTAAAGGGAAACATTGGAAATCACATTGCTGGGTGTCTGATAGTGCGATTTTTGAACTGGGGAAACTAGACTCAAAAGAACTGGCTGCAGAAAGGCTGGTGAAGCAGACGGCAACCTAGAACTCTTAACAGTCATCAGAGCATAGGGAGTTGGTCTCACCTGCTTACCTACTTGGTAAATTGGATTGTTCTTTTTAAATTGATTTCATTTCTCCCTCTTTCCATGTTAATTTGTAAAATGAATATAAAATACCTACCTGTTATTACCTAGCAAGCTCCTGTGGGAAGAAGTTGTGAAGCTTCTTAAGGGTTTTTGGTTTTGGTTTTGGTTTTTAAAATAAAAGATCTTTCTGGGATATATTGCTAAGCTTGAGACCAAATGGAAGAATGATGTGTGTCATCTGAAACAGTGTACTGATTCATAGGTTTTCCGACCCCGGCAGTCAGCAGCACAACCATTTGGTTCTTGTGATCACCACGAGCCAACACATAGGGTGGAAAGGGAGGTGGGAGCCTCTGAGGCCAGTAGCCCCAGCTGCACGCAGAGACCCTCCTCGGCACTAAACCTTTCAGTTACCTGGTTACATCCTCAGGTTTTACACATGCCCCACAGTAGTCCCAGCCAAGTAATGTGCATGTTTCTAGACTCCACGTGAGTAAGTAGCCCTGAGCCTGAAGGTCCATGACTCAAGCCGGCCAGCCCTGGGGAAAGCCAGGGTCTGACTCAGGACACAAGCCTCACGGGATGCTTTTCAAATGCTGTCAAGCTGTCTAGTATCTAAAATGCAGTGCCCCTTTTCTCCTTAAAAGTTGTCTTCTGCTTATTAAAGTAGCTGTCAGATATAAGACTTTTGGTCTTTAATATGTGTTGTAATTTCCTTGGACCTGTACTATCTTATTATCTAATATTGTGTACTCTAAGACATAAGGCAATTATGAGATAAACAATAACTTACTAAGTGCTTATCATGTGCGAGCCATGCACTGCGGCAGGCTCTTTAAGTGCATTATTTCATTTAATTGTTCAGATGAGGAAACCGAGGCAGAGAGATTAAAGAATACAGTGCTCGGTTTGGTAGAATTGGGATTTTAAAGTGGCAGTCTGGCTTTAGGTTCGCACCCTTAGCCAGTTTGATGTACTGTGGTGCAGCTTTCAAGCTTAGGACCACAACCTACAGTGACAGTATTTTATATTGTACCACAGAGCCACACAACTTTGTAACTGAAACACTAGTTTCACAGAACAATGCTCTGCCTTAACGTAGGCAGGGTACTCTGGTTCTTCCCCACGCTGGTCCTCGCTCTCTCCTTGTTCCCTCCCTCCTTCCCTCCATTCCTTTTGTACAATGATCTCCCAATTGAAAAACAGTGCAACACTGCCTTCCACTCTTAGTTCATTCATCAGCTATTCATTTGGGCCTCCCATGTGTCTGATACTGTGTAGGTACCACGGGGACAAAAGGGAGGAAAGCACACAGAGTCCCCTCCCTATAGAGCATACAGAAGGTTTTGTACATGAAATGCAGTTGGAAAAAAACTCTATTGTATATGGAAACCCCTCCAAATCCAGTAAGAAATCTATTAGGTATAAAACTTACATTACCTACTAAATATACAGCTATTTAGTAACATTAATGAAAAGACTATAGGAAAGGGGCATAGTTCATAATAATAAGATGATTATTCAGACAATAGAATGCTATGCAGCATTTCAAGTAATGACCTAGTGTGATGTGTATCAATATGGATGCATCTCAAAAATGTAGTTAAAAACAAGTTACAAAAGCATAATAAGCATAGTATAATAAGGACAAAAGCATGTTACTGTATAGTACAATGCAGTATAATACAGTACACGGCAAAAGCATAATATAGTATATCATTTGTGGAAAAATTTTATATATAAAAACCATTCAAGGAATGACCACACATGTATGTATTTAGGATAATACATATTACTCTCTAGAGTTGGAAGGAAGTTGAGGCTTTTTCAAATCTTGTTAAAGTAAAAAGATTTAGCAAATGTGCAAAATTTAACCATTGCTAAGTCTGTGGATGCATGGTTATCTCATCAGTTTTGGTGCTTTTCTGTGTGTTTTAAATGTTTAATGGTTAAAAATTGAAAAGGTGCAATGAGTTTCTGTACGCACGGTGCCATTTTTGTGTCCGGTGCATGCTTTTCCTATGTTCTGTGCCTTCAACTGGTGTTCTCTATCACATTAATGTTGTATTCCTCTAAAGAAACACTGTAACCACAAGCACTTTATGGTTAGAGAGATTTAGGGTTTGTAGGGGATGTTCCACCTTAGGGGTGTTGTTCTTGGTTGACCAGCAGAGGGCGCTGCTCCATAGCAGATGTGAGGTGAGGCAGCCACACCCAGGCAATTCTCCTGGGGCAGGACCCAGCCTCCCAGTGTGAAGTGCTGTTCCACCCAGGGAGGAAGGGGCACAGCATCCACCCATTTGTCTATTTACACATCACATTCCTCTGAATATTTATATATTATTGCCTTGGCTATTTCTGAGGCTAAGAATACAGAAATGATGCCAGGTGTGGCCTGTGCTAGAAGCTTCCTTTGCTGCTGCATCCATGAGCATATGCTGATGTGTGGGGAACTTTTTTCTGTTAAATTGACGAAGGAACCTCCTTTTTATTCTAGGTGGAAAAAGATTATTCTTACTTGAAGGAAGTATGTGAACATCAAGCAGAACAGCTGAGCAGAACCAGCCTAAAACTGCAAGAGAAAGCATCAGAGAGTGACGCGGAGATTAAAGATATGAAGGAAACCATATTTGAATTGGAAGATCAAGTGGAACAGCATCGAGCTGTCAAGTTACATAATAATCAGCTCATCAGTGAGCTAGAAAGTAAGTGAAATTCAGCCCTGGTGAAATGTGGATTGAGTGATTAGGATACAAAACCAGTGGCCTTGGGTGACTGTAGGAGGGTGTGCAAGAATGTTTATGAAAAGTCTTTCTTTTGAGTGTTCTGTACGCTCCTAGGAAGACTGGCAATTAAGAAAGAGTAATTAATCTTCTGAACTAAGTTGAAAACTGGGTGAAGAAGAAAAGGTTGTTGTACGTGAATCAACAGTGTGGGGTGATTGTGAAAAAACAGCAAACACCTTTTGGAGTTTTAGGTGTCCTGCGTGTGAACCACACTGCTGACCACACTCATCAAGCATTGACAATGTGTCGTCTTTGGGATCTGAGGGATAAAAAGATGCATGATAGGTGGTTACACTGATTCCAATAATGTGTGCTTGTGGTGTCAAGGAGTAAACAATTCCCACATGTGTCCCATTGATGATAGAATATCAAATAACTTATAAAGTTGGCCAGTTTGTTACTGAAGAGACTCCAGTATGTGGCTTATTTATGAACTCATTGTTTGCTTTGAATAGGGAAGGCATTTAAAAAGAGATTAGTTATGGTCCGGCCAAGTGGCTCAGTTGGTTAAGAGCTTGCTCAAGAGTGCGAGCTCTTAGCAACAAGGTCACCAGTTCGATTCCTGGCAGGAGCTGAGCTGCTGCTGAGCTGCCAACAGGTGGCAGGATGGTTCAGCTAAAAAAAAAAAAAAAGAGATTAGTTAAACAGTGCCTGCTTTGCCCAAAGAAGCTTTATCAAATGACTACATATAATGTGTTTTGTTTTGTAACAAAATAATTAATACACAGAGCTTTTACTGACATTAACCATTGCTAAAAATAGCATAGTCAGTTGCCTAAGAAGTTTCTCAACATGTCCAGTTCATCCTGATTATTCGTGGAATCCATATTTGCAAATTTTCCTGTTTGCCAAAATGTATTTATAACCTCAAAACCAGTACTCTCCATGCTTTCAGTTATTCACAGACATGTGCAGAGCAGTGGGTGAATCTCCCAAAGTGCATTCCCAGCTTAGGTCAAACACTGTGACACTTCACCTTCTGTTTCAGCTCCCATACTGTAAACCAGTGTCTTTTTCATGGTTTATTTAGTACCATGTTTTTTGTTTTCATTTTGTGCTTTTTGTTGGTGATTTGACTGTTTAAAATGGCCCCCAAGTGTAGTCTTGGAATGCTTTTTAGAGTCCCTAAGTGCAAAAAAGCTGTGATGTGGAAAAAATAGATGTGTTGGATAAGCTTTGTTCAAGCACGAGTTACAGTGCTGGTGGCCATGAGTTCAAAGTTAATGAATCAGCAGTGTTCATTGAATCGTTCAATGTCAACTAAAACTTCCAGAGAAAGGAAGAGGAAGTTCACCAATCTGTATATGAGACTGCTCCAGAAAGTGCCAAAGTGACATCTGTGGTGTGCGATAAAACTGTGGAAAAGATGGTAAAGCAGCTAAATTTGTGGCTTCATGTGATGACAGCCAATTAAAAACAAACAAACAAAAAAAAACAACCGTGCTGCACAGCATTGTTGTGAAGCCAAAAACCAAAGAAATTTACAGTCATGTTTCCCAGGGTTGGGAAAGTGTTTAAACCCTTCTCAGCTAGCGCTGGCTGGCTTCCATGGTTCAAAAGGCCACACGCTAGTGAAAAAAGTTAAAAACTTACAGCTCTGCAGCTCTTGAGGCAGGTTCTGCAGATCAAGAGGCTACGGAAGAATTTTTAATATACCTGTTGACTATTATGCAGGAAAAGGGTTACGTGGGCCAGCAGGGCTCCAGCACTGATGAGATGGGTGTTTTTTTACAAGGACATTGGCAAACGAACCTATATAACGCAAATAGGGCTTCATTTAACAAAAATGTGACCAGAGGATCACAGGATCTAACCCTGTATTCCCGTAGAAACAAAAGTTTAGTGTTCGCTAATTCAGTGTGCATGGCAAGTCTGTGTAACTAACACAAATAATGAGAGCTGACTCTATATTCTTGACCTTGATTAATTGGTACTGTCGGGGCTCCATTCCTCATTAGACCTGATATGTGGTAGAACTGTAGAACATGGGCATTCAATGTCAGTATCATTCAGGCTATTCTCAGTAGTTATGCTTGAGAATACAAAAAAATAGCTGCCATTGTCAGTGTGTGTTTACAAACACAGCACCCTACTTGAAAAGTATCAAGTTAAAGAAGTCCAGTTTTGTTTTGTGTTTCTTTTAGTGATATGTTGCTATTGAGAATTTGGTTGTGTTGTCCCCCAAATCTTTAAAAGTTAGCACAGACACACCAAGATAAAAGCATATAATTAAAGTCCAGAACAGATGTCAGACCTACTCCCTATGGTTGTATCATAACATATCCAAAATTGAAAAATAACACAGACCATGCACCTTTTAAGAAGCTTTTTAACTTCTGTCAGGGATATTAAGGTGTTATTAAGATGTCTTCACTAGGAGGCCCAGGGACACACAAATTCAGCCTGAGACAATCACTTCTTCCCATAAGGTCCTTGAAAGAAATGAACAGAAAAATAAAAAGTTAAGGAGAAATGCAGAAATGCTCATTCTGCAGCATTTACCCCAAACACAAATTCTCAGGCCCCATGTGCTGAATTAGAATTTCTGGGATAGGACCTGACCCTGTGGGTTCTTCTCAGAGCTTCTCTGATAATTCTCATCCATATCCTTAATGAACAACTGCTGCTCTGAAATGGATGGGAAGAAGCATTGAAGCATGAACTAGGTAATGGATCTGATCAGGTTTAAGTTGAAATGACTGAAAGTAACCTGGAGAGAACAGGAGATGGAGAGGGAGGACCTGAAGATGTCCTTAATTAGGGAGAGGTGGCCAAGTCACCCATTAGCTGTTAAAGTACACACATCATGTCCTGTCTGCCCTTGGAGGTTCCGATTTCATGGGTCAGTGCCTGGGGTCTGAACATCTGTGCTTTTGAAAAGCTTCCCAAGTGATTCTGAGGTTTAACTGTGAGTAAGAACTGTGACTCTAGGGGGTGACCGGTTAGCTCAGTTGGTTGGAGCATGGTGCTGACAGCACCAAGGTTGTTGGTTCGATCCCCGCATGGGCCACTGTGAGCTGTGCTCTCTCTAAAAGAGTCAGCTATGCCATTGTAGCATGAAATCAATGTGTAACCAATGACCATGGCTTTTCCCCAATGAAATAAAAAAAAAACAACTGTGACTCTAGAAATGGGCCTAGAGGTCACAATAGTAATATCCAGTCATGTCCCCTGTTACACAGAAGCCATCTACCTCACAGGGATAAAAGGACATTCAGGACGATGTGTGCCAATACTGGGGAGGCCGAGAGTAGTGTAATGGTGTGAGTGGCTGTGGAGGTCTCTTTCCATGGTGTGCAGCCTGTCATCTGAGGGTGTAACCTAACAGAACACCACTTGATTCCCAACTCGTCCCATTGTCTGACGTGGGAGAACCGCCTGCTCCTGGCTTCCAGTTTTCAGGGCCAAGAATGGAATTTATAGTAGGATAGATGGATTCGAAAGCCTGTTGCCAAATCTGGAGCTGCTCCTTTGCTGCCTAGCTTAACTTCTCCCAAGAGTCTTGCACCCCTTCCAGTTCCTGTCTGACTTGTTTGTTTCTAGGCAGTGTGATGAAGCTGGAGGAACAGAAATCAGATCTGGAGAGGCAGCTGAAGACTCTGACTAAGCAAATAAAGGTGAGATGCAGGTACAGCAGGGGATGGGCATCCTTTTACTGGAAGTGTCTCCCTCTCAGATTTTGAGACCTTTGAAAAATACCCTGCTTACTCTCTCTAGCCTGTTTTCTCATAGTACCGTATTTGCCGGCGTATAAGACGACTGGGCGTATAAGACGACCCCCTAACATTTCCACTCAAACTACAGAGTTTGTTATATACTCGCCGTATAAGACTACCCCCTCTTCTGCACACCTTCCACACACCAAATAAAAGGTAAAACAATATCAGATTTGATTTCAACATTTTAATTTATATTCAAATGCTTATGACATGCAGGAAAACTGTCACAAGGCTGTATGTAATCAAACATATACATAAATCGCGATTCGCGATTTTGCGCTATCATACTGGGTGTATGGTCGGCTGTGTGCGATTTTGCGAGTGTGGTAAAATCGCATAACAGCAAAATCGCATAAGCCGAGCATACACCCAGCAGCGCTGCTGATGCCTGAACGGTATGTGGAATGAAGTGAGCGGGCATCGGGAGGCCACTATGGCACGGGGCAAGCACTATGGGCAGTCTATCTGAAGTGTACCTGGCGTATAAGACGACCCCCCACTTGGAGGCATATTTTTCAGGGCCAAAAAATCGTCTTATACACCGGCAAATACGGTACATTTCCGCGGCAGGGGCTCTGGAACCACCAGTTAGTACTGGCAGTGTTGTCGGAGAGTGGGGCATTCTTGGCACAAAGTCCAGGTCCTTGGCAACTCGAGCAAAGAATTGAACGATATGCCAGAGTAAAGTACTGAAAAAGTAGTTTATCGAAGAGATAGTACATTTCAGAGTTTGGAGCGGGCCACGCGCAAAGGCGAGGCTCAAAAGGCTCAAAAAGGAAGGAAGGAGGTCAAAAAGGGAAGAAGCGGTCAAGAAGGGAGAAGGTGTCCAAAAAAAGGCAGACTTCCCAGGACTTGGAGTTTTTATCCCCTTTTTCTAGAATGCACGTGGGACCCCTTGATTGGCACCCATAATTGACAAGAGGTACAGCACAGGTGCAAGTGACTGGTCTGATATAGTTGGGTATTTCGCACCCATTTGTTTCAGGGGTAGATAGTTACAATGAAAAGAAGTTTTGGGTGGAGAGGGGAGGTCACCGGGTGGTCACATCCTGTGAGACATGCAGGAATACAGAGGCCCGATGCCTGCCTCTAACTGCCTGCCTTGTTTTCCTCTTGAGAGACGTGATCCCCATAAAATCTCTATGGGAAGCTGAGGGACAGGAGGTCTGCTTTTCTGTATCTGCTTTCTGCTGGGCAGGGGCATAGAGGAAGGGGTCTCGAGCTCCACCTAGAAGACCATGTTGGCTTCTTTGGTTGTGACTGCAATCTTGTTGGGGTGTTATCTGTATCCCCAAGGTCCCCGAATGAGGAAAAATAGATTTTAATTAATAAATCTGTTAGTTCTCCTGAAGCCTGTGGCCATTCAGCCTGTCACTCAGGTGGCGTCAATTGTCTAGGCTCAGAATGGGTTTGACATTTAGTTTACTGGCCTGGGGGATATTAGGAATTCACAGGCTTTCAAGTAGTTATCTGAGGCAGAGGGATAGGAGACTTCTAGGATTCAGGCTAGGAGCAATCTTTAGTCTAGGATTCACAAACTGGTTAGAAAAGTAATCAAAGCCAAGAGCTAAGAAACTAAAACTAGGGAGGAGACTTAACATTTCTATACTTAACATTCTTATAGGAAAGAAAACTTAAAAGTTTCTCAGTAGTGCGGTGGGGTGTCTACTCAGTTGGCCGGTAACAGCAGGAAGTAAAACTAAAGCAACTATTCAGTTTCAGGATAGAGTACTCTCATGACACAAAGGTGTCATGCCCACTTGTGCCTTTTCCGCGCCTCACTAAGTACTGCCCAGCCAGTGTTTCCTGGTGATGGGCTCTGGGGACCCTGCAGCCCCTGCCCCAGTGCCAGCCTCCATGGCATCTGACCTGGGTGTGAACTCTGGTGTTTTCAGGAGGAGACCGAGGAGTGGAGGCGGTTCCAGGCGGACCTGCAGACAGCAGTGGTGGTAGCCAATGACATCAAGTGTGAGGCCCAGCAGGAGCTGCGCATCGTGAAGAGGAAGCTGCTGGAGGAGGAGGAGAAGAACGCCAGGCTGCAGAAGGAGCTGGGGGACATGCAGGGCCTCAGCAGGTGGGTCACAGCGGAGCCATACCCCGCGAGTCTGAGGGCTCCTGCACAGTGCTTGGCTTCTCCCTCAGTCACCACGCATGGCCTTCCGTGACGCTTTTGTGTCGCTCTGTGCTGAATCTTTACCCTTTTCTAGGCTCTCTCTGCCACTGCTGCCATTGCACAACTAGGTATAGTCCATCCAGTGCCGGTCACTGCTGTTCTCTGGCCTAAGGGGACAAGAAAATTCTTCATTTACATATGTACAAAAGTTCTAGCCAGGTCTCTCCTGGGTTGAGAGACTAGATTCCGTGTCTAGGATGCTCCTTAAATCGTAGTGTTTATTAGTGCAGGGAAGTACACTTTGGCTGGCAACAGTGACACCCCTCATAGGTCCCTCTCAAGCAGCAGGAAAAGCAGGACAGGACTTCCGGGGGCATTGCCCTTAGATAAAGGACTCTCTGGCCCAGGGACATGCTTCTTTACTGGAAACACTTGTAGGCTACCTCACGAAATCCTTCAAATAACTCACTTTGTTAAAAAGGAGAGTGTGGAAAACCTACACCTGCTTGATACATGACTTTCCCTTCTGTTCTTGAGGGATGGAAATCACACAAGGTGTGGCCACAGGAAGCTTTCTTAACAGCAGAGTTTCAGAGGGAGGTATTCCCTAAGTGAGCTCAAAGTTAATTATTATTTAAAACTCAAATGATTTACAAACAAGATTATAAACAGTATTGTAGGCTTTAACTAATGCAGTGTTATCTTTCCCCAGTCAGGAATAAATGTCCTTAACTCTGAGATTCTTGGATATTAGGAAATTATCTTGAATTTTCAGTGTCTCTCAAATCCAAAATGTAGTATTTAGAAATCAGATTTAGTAGGTTCCAAATGTTGATTTGTACAGTTTGCCCTTTTTACATGCTTTCCAGGAGCAAGAAGGTTGTTTCCTGGCTAGATTCTGAGCCTTTTAGTCTGATGTGTTATCATGAATTTCATGACATTGGAAAGAGTAGATTTCTTCACAGAATTGTTTTGATTCTCTTACCAAACTTCAATCAATCCCTTATTATTGTTTTTTTGTTTGTTTGTGACTTTTACATAATACAGCCTCTAGAGAAGGATTAAGATAAGATGTGGAGCTGATTCCACAATTTACTCTTGAAAATCAAGGTCATTATTTTATAGTCACACCTGTACCCCCTGCCACAAAAGCATGTGAATTTTAAGTTAAGGAAGAAGGAGAATAGGAAAACTAGATTTCATAGTGTTCCCTATTAAAATGATTGTGAGGCCATTCTAGTTGCTTTTGTATCTGCTTTCATTTGTTCATTTGTCTTGCTTTTATAGTGTGTGTCTTGGAAGAGAAACCAAATCATAACCTGTGTTGCTTTGTTTATATGTTACTTTAAAGATAAATGGTAAAAGCAGTCTTGAGTTTGTGTGGTGGCCCTGAACAAGTTATTGTATGAGATGCTGCATTTCTTACATAGTTTCTAAGATACAGGCCCAACTATACAATTTGAACCCTGATATCATAGAAAATCTCTGCATGCGTTTTGACAATTTAGGACTCCATGTGCTCTATCCTACATCTTCAAAGTTAGGGTCATTTTTTTCTTAACACAATATGTTTCTCTTTTGATTTTCCAGTGATTTGCAAACCTACCTCCCAAACCCAGCAGTTTAATCCCTTGTCACAAAACATTTCAAATTCTAGAACTGACATCAATCCAGAACATTGCATATTACTGAAACCCTGTAGGCTTCAGTGTTTTTTGCCTATCTTTGCACTGGGCTGGACTTCAGACACCTACCGGGGCCGGTTTCTTGTCTGATTCTGCATTTCTGGGGCAAAGTGCCCCTTCCAAAGAGTTGATCATTTGAAAGTAACTACTCGCTGATGGCTCAGCCACTTCCTGAACTTACCTCATGATCAAGACTTGAAACCAGCTCATACCCTCAAAGGCCCTGAAGTGACGTAGTGTTTCCATCTTGGCTGAGTGGGCTTTTGACTGAAACTCAATTTGACTTTGACAGTCATCTAATGAGAACTCAAAAGTCATTCTTGGTTCAGGCACAGCTAAAGAACTTGCAGAAAATTCTTTGATGAGGTCCTCCAAGTACAACCGAGAGAAGGTAAGAGCATCTGAAAAGCACCTTGATTGTATCATGGGAGTAACTGATTCAGATTTTCATTTTGCATATGTGGGCATTCGAAGGAATATAATTAGGCTAGTAGGAGGGCAAGTGAAGTTAGCATTCGTTACCAAGAACTCAATAACTAAAATGAAGTGGAACATTATTTAACTTAGTATTTTAGATAATTTAAAAACTTAGCTCATTAGCGATCATCAGTCCTGTTTTGCTTTCAAAGATATTTTTATTTTGGAATCCAAAAACTGATGTTAAGATATTAAGGAAAGGGCCGGCCGAGTGGCACAGTTGGTTAAGAGCTCGCTCAAGAGTTTGAGCTCTGAGCAACAGCGGTTCGAGTCCGGCCCGAGCTGAGCAGCCGCTGAGCTGCCAACAGGTAGCAGGATGGCTCAGTTTAAAAAAAAAAAAAAAGATATTAAGGAAAATGAGGCTATAGTCTCATCTTTGCCACCTACTGGTAAGGTTTCTTCCCAGACCTACCTCCTTCCTCTCTTAGATGAGGCGATAGGAATAAGTTGCTTTTTAAAGCCCCTGTAAGCTCTGCTGTTCTCTGGGCCTCTCTCTGATGGTAGAGTCAGGAGCTCACATTGCCAGCAGTACCATCTTTCCAATGCAGTCCTTAGAACCTTTTTGACACGATGGCATTTCCATATTTTAGCCTGGACTGTGGACCTCATCTTTCTCTTCCAGAGATTTGAACAAGCCAATGTAGTTTTTATGGACCTGAAAGTGATATGTTTTACTGGACATGTACAAGTTAATGGATGAAAGGATAATGAATAACTTTTTTCAACTCTGGCTTCTTCTAATTTTGAACCATTAAGAGAAAGACATTGAAATGAAAACATCCATCGAAATTAAAACATCAAATCTTCTTCCTGGAAAGTTGAGTCCTTGGGCCTGGCAGACACAGAGAACACACATGCAGCTCGACTTAGTGATTTGATGGGCCACACACAGCCTTTCTAAAGAAAGCCATTGTTAATGAGCAATAGTATGACACAGGCTTCTCAAACAGTACTAGGAAAAGACAAATTTGCTTTTTCTCTTACTCAGAAACAGTAAAGACCATTAGTTTTAGGGTTACTTACTTGATTTTTACTGTGTATATGATGTAACACCAATAAGCACCCATGGAAAACATCTCAAAAAAGAGATCGTTAAAAACTGTAAACATCTGTGCTTAATGAACTGTATCAGCTTCTAAAACAGAATGTCTTAAGATTCAGACTGTGTTTAGCGTGTACCACTGGTTCTCTCGTTGTCACCTCTGAAGCAAGTGGCATGGCTGCTTATCACTGCGAGACTCTCTGGAATTGGCTTTTAACTCTGTGTGTGCACAAATGTGTTCTGCCCTGATGTCAGTCATGTGCCTGTGCCACCCCCTGTGTTGTTCTTAGAGCTGTAATGCATCACCGCCACTCATTGAGTATTCTGGGCGGTCACTGAAAGGGAAAGTGTGGAAGCTGGAGGTACAGACTCTTGAGTCACTAAGTTGTCTTTCCGGGTCTCTTGCTTTGATACAGCGTCCATGACTCTGGTGAAGGGGGGATCAGTTCTCATGGGGATTCCTAAGCACTTTCTGAGCAGACCTCACATTAGTACCATAGGCTGTTAAGGGGCCTATGGCATTTTATTGGGTTGTTGGAAAAGTCATGACGCATTTTTGCAACAAAAAACAGAAAAAAATACATCATGACTTTTTCGACAAAAAACAGAAAAAAATACATCATGACTTTTTCGACAGCCCAATATATGGCCATTGATGTAAAAACTGGTCTTCTGGTATCTCAACAAGCTTAATTCTTTCACTCTCATACTAATTATTTTTTTCATAGCTTAAGTTTGCCCTTAGGGCATTAGATACATAGCCTGTCATTCTAAAGAGCTCGTCTCCTTCCCTGCTCCCCAACCCCCATCTTTACAGATTGGCTTTGAAAAGTGTGGACAGGAGCTTTCCCTAGGCCTTGAGGATTTTTATGCCATAATAATAAAAGAAATCTTTTTCTTTTTTGGCCTTGACTATAGGACAGTAGAGGGAAGCACGAGCCACTCGGTAAAGTACAGAGAGCCTGATTTGTTCGTCCTGGATGTCTCCACTTCACCCACCCAGTTGTCTGGTGGTGAAGGTCTGGTGGAGGAGCCTGGCAGTAGCCTTTTGAAGCGTTTGGCATTTCCTCTGTCTGAAGACATATGACATCCAAAAAATTGGAACAATAGGAATTCAAACATGTTGGTCCTATTCTGGGTATTAGCTTTTCCCTGTGGGACAGTGTCAGCTGTAAATTCTTATATTTGTGGACTAAGATCATAAAAACCATTGCATTAAGTAACTCCTTTACCAGCCTTTCCCCTCCCATTTCTATTTTCACAGCTCCATGGTCTCTGTCAGCTAGCAGAGCATTTGATGGAAGAAAGACAGCTCAGCCCTTGCCATGATGGGAAACTACAGCCATTTCTATGTGCAAGGGGGAATAACATAGAGGAGAAATTACCTCTTTATAAAGAGCCAAATTGTCTCTTTATAGTAACATTCACTATTTCACACAGAGTCATTGCGATCAAGTCTCTTTACCTTTTTTGTACATTTTGGAATCAACTCATTACACACAGATGATCCTTCCCTCTTTTTCTTTTTCTCAGAAGATTCAGCAGTCTTTTATTTGGAGCATAAAATGAAATTGTTCTGAAAAAAAACAAAATATAAGTCTTGTGAAAAAAATTTTGACATGCAACTAGAGTGTTCAGAGAGAGCAATGGCATAGCAAACTCAGAGTGCTGGTGAATGCGACCCATGCTTTTGTGTTACTTCTTGAAGTTTATTTTCATGCTTCCTTTTGAATATAGTATCTGATAATCTTGGAATT